GGATGGTGGGACAGGGATCAGGATGGTGGGACGGGGATCAGGATGGTGGGATGGGGATCAGGATGGTGGGACGGGAATCAGGATGGTGGGATAGGAATCAGGATGGTGGGACGGGGATCAGGATGGTGGGACAGGGATCAGGATGGTGGGATACGGATCAGGATGGTGGGACAGGGATCAGGATGGTGGGACAGGGATCAGGATGGTGGGACGGGGATCAGGATGGTGGGATGGGGATCAGGATGATGGGACGGGGATCAGGATGATGGGACAGGGATCAGGATGGTGGGACAGGGATCAGGATGGTGGGACCGGGATCAAGATGGTGTGTGTGACGGGGATCAGGATGGTGTGACGGGGATCAGGATGGTGGGACAGGGATCAGGATGGTGTGACGGGGATCAGGATGGTGTGACGGGGATCAGGATGGTGGGATAGGGATCAGGATGGTGGGACAGGGATAAGGATGGTGGGACAGGGATCAGGATGGTGGGATAGGGATCAGGATGGTGTGACAGGGATCAGGATGGTGTAATAGGGATCAGGATGGTGGGATAGAGATCAGGATGGTGGGACGGGGATCAGGATGATGGGACAGGGATCAGTCTTGGCAAACCATACGCCCAGTTTGAGCACCACAATGACGATGTATATATGGGATCATGCAGGTCATCCCTGGGGGCTGTGTGCTCCTCTGACTGTACAAGCATCTCTCAGCATGCGTCCAGCTAACATCTCATTCAAGTCAGAGAGGAAATTGCGGCAGGAGGGATGATGAGCGGATATGATTCACCGCTTGTTATTCTCAGGGAGACATCTGCCCGTCTATAGTCAGCTAACATGGGATACGTTCAGTACATGCATGCTACGCTATATATCAGTTACCACTCACAGATCACAGTGCTCCCCCTGACCATGCCTGCATCTGCTTTCCTTTTCAGAAGGACGGCACCATCTGTGTTCAGGCATCATCCAGTGTCACTATGAATTGATATGCCGGCTTAGAGATGACACAGTTATGGAAATCCTGGTGTCTATGCAGTTCTTGGTTGTGTTCACAATTGTCTGACGCAGATCAGCCCTTGCTGCAGCCTCTAACTTTGTAACTTGCTACATTGTTACAATGTACAGTCTGATCACTGGGAGGGGGGAGACTAACTAAGGAAATGCTTCCTGCTGCCTGCAGCATCAGCAGCACATTAAAAAAGGCCTACATTATGTCTGCAGGTGACAGGTTCTCTTTAAAGAAGGGTCTAAATCCTATATTAGTGACTATGTCTAAATAGAATGACCATCGTGTTATTACTTACATAGGATGGTTTGAACAGTTACTGTGTATGGAATATATGGGGGGTACTCTTCCCTTCCCTCATTGCAAGTCTATCAGTCAGCTCAGACTGCTTGAAAACAATACAGTCCCTATGTGGTTTATCCTGTAATCAGCTGTTATATGGAGATTCTCTATACACCACCTGAGATGTAGACTTCCACTAGACGAGGAGCCTAGAAATGTATGAAATACAATGATAAAAATATGGAACAGCAAATGTAGAGAGCATTAAAGCAACATAAAAAAATGAATATACATTGACATCATTATAATTAGGTAATAAAATATACTATATACTGTACTAAAAAAATACATATATATATATTGGCATCACATAATTTTTATTTATTTATTTATTTTTTATTATTATTTTAATTTTATTTTTAATTTTATTTTTTTTTATTTATAAAAAAATAATTATATACATATATCAATATATTTATTTAAAAAAATTATATATATATATAAAAAAATATATTATATATATATATATAAAAATGTATAAATATATATATATATATATATATATATATATATATATATATATATATATAAATAAATTATATATCTCCTAGATTGTAAACTCTAACGAGCCGGGCCCCCTGTTTTGTATTGTAACTGTAATGTCTACTTTAATTTTGTAAAGTGCTGCGAAAACTGTTGGCGCTATATAAATCTTGTATAAATAATAATATATTCATATATAATATATTAATATATATTTTTATATATAATTATATTTAATATAATATTTTTTAATAAAATATATAATTATATATATTTTAGTCTAATATACCTAATATATGTATATATATTGTTATTCAGAAACATAATACTTGTTTTTGTCCTTTGTCAAATTGCAACCACTTCCTGTCTACGTGCACTTCAGTGATGGCTGCACGGCATCTCTCATGGCTGCTTCCTGATGGTGACAACAGTGGACCATGTCTGCACAATGTGTGTTGGCCCACAAGCCACTTGTAGTCTCCATTGTTAGCCTGTGTGAACGAGGGACAACCAGGAGCACAATTGGGACAAGGGGACACAGTTTATCATCAGGGGCGGACTGACCATTCAAGCACTGCCCGAGGGCCCAGGGTCAGTAGAGGGCCCCATGAGATGTCCCTGGTACCTTTTCATAGGCTTTTTTGGGTGTGTTTGAGTGTGGGCAAGGACACAGGGGCCCCATGATCCCCTATTGCCCGGGGGGCCCCATGAGTTGTCAGTCTGCCCCTGGTTATCACCCGATACCAGGAAGGGCTCAAGCAAGCACCCTTATGGTTGGACCCTTATGGAAGCCCAAACGGTTACTTATCCTTTGAGGGGATTAATCTATAATGAAGGCATGGTGATACGTGACCTCGTTTTTGGTCTTCACCCACGGTGAACAAGCCGCTCAGCAGATGATCCAGTTTGAGTATAAAGACATTTTTTAGTATAGAGTTAGTAGAACCGAGTACAAATAGTGAAAAAGCTTGATACTGAAATGAAAAGTATAGTAAATATGTCCAACACGTTTCGGGGCAAGTGTCTCCTTCTTCAGGGTTTAAACTAATGGTGCCAGTCCAGCAACATGGTGGGCACAAGAATATGCTGATACCATGGCTTTTTAGTTTGTTTGTTTGTTTTTTTTTTCATTTTAATGAATCGAAATGATCCAGAAATGATCACAATGCCATACCTTTAAGCCCCGAAGAAGGAGAAGGTCCTACCCCGAAACGTGTTGGATATCTTCTAAGAGCTGTGTTCAGACTAACAGTACATTTCAGATATAAAGTCATTAACCAGAGTGTGCTGTCTCTCTCCACAGGTGACATACCTCATTCTGTAGACCTCGCAGAGAACCAATCAACAACCTCATCAATATGACACTAGCAGGTACGTCCCCCCAGGTACTCGTGATATATGGGAGGCGCTGAATGGCACGGCTACTTTCTTAAAGAGTTGTAGGACCTCAGCTCTGTACGGATAATGGACGTGAAAAGCATTGCCTTCCTTCATTACTCGGATTTAAAACGGTTTCCTCATGGGAGGGGCTATTGGAGAAGGGGGCAGGGAAATGGGAATGAAAGTTCCTGCAGGGCAGTGATTAGAGCTGATCGCCAGCTACATATATTAAAAAATGTAGACAGTTTGACCCCTTAACACCACCTTTTGTCAGCCTGTTAATGCCCAAGAATGACAAGGCTTCTGTATCACATGACTGCGTTGATTGGCTCTCACAGTGGTCACATGCCTCTCACAGCTGTCATTCGGTAGCCTTGACTCATGCAATCAGCACAAAACCTCAGGCCGCTGGGGATGCACATGTTGAATGGCTCAGTGTTAACGCCCACCTTTCTTGCCGCTGCATATATGTGTTATGTGGTTGGCAAAACATACGTCCCCCCCCCCCCCCCCCAGGTCAAATGCTTTTTATTCATTCTAAACACTGTGATTCAGGAAAATACCAAATTATCACCACTAGATGGAGTTATAAATTAAAGTAGATAAGTATTTAGGTATATAACCGTCAGCTCCATCTAGTGGCCATAATGTGGTATTTTCCTGAATTTCTCCTTGTTCTTTGTGAAGGAATAACATTCGCACTGGAGAAAAAAAGCCTAATTCTGTTTGATTTTTTTCCCCCCATTTGCACAGAGCAAATGAACATGCACTTTTGCTGCACAAGTAGCTAAAAAAAATTTTTTGTTATAAATACATCCTTATGTATCTACCAAAAGTGTTAGACCAACCTAAACCTTTCCTACAAGCCCTAAATGAATGGATATTGATATTATGGGTAATTAGATGGCGGTTTAACCAGTTTTTATTGTGAATTCATTGTCAATGGTCCATGTCCCTGGGGGGTGTGGCGGGGGTGGGGGTGGGGCATGTTCCTTGCCTACATACTTTGTGTTAAAGGTGTCCCTCTTTGCCACCTTAGAAAATTGGGATTTTGTGGTGTGGGGTGAGCTGAGAGCAAGGGAACCCTTGGTCTTCATAAATCAAAGAATTGTGGGTTAAAGAGGAACAGTTCAGGTGAAAATAGTGGTTACACAGCAATGTGACTTGGCCCCTAGGTCAGGGGAAGGCAGACTTTGGCCCTCCAGCAGAACTACATGTCCCATGAGGCATTGCAATACTCTGGCAGCCACAAGCATGACACCCAGAGGCATGATAGGACTTCTGCTACAGCTGGAGGGTCATAGTTTGACTACTCCTTCCTTAGATTCAACATCAGAGACACAGTAATGGATGTATTGCCAATGTCTGTAGACACGAATCAGCACAATCTTCATCCACTGATTTGCAAATTGTCATCCTCTTCAATTACTGCCAGCTTTGAGTTCTGAGCCCCCGAAATTCGTTGGAATTCTATCTTGTCATGTACAATGAAGACTTACCAGACTCTCATACCTTCTACATTCTTCAAAAGAGAGGGTAGATCTTCTCTGGTCTAGCGACAGCAGTCTTTAGAGGGTTTTCCCTTCACCATAAGGAGATTTCCTTCAACTTCTTGCCCTGCTTCAAGGACCGGAAGTGAAAGAAAGTCTCCCCCCACCAGAAAAAAAACACTCACTCCTTAGTCTATCCAAAAAAAGGGGGCCTTTTATACATTTGAGCATGATTCCTATGTGACCATAACAACTTCGATAACGAAATACCCTAACATTTCTGATTTCTCCCACAGCCTACAAAGAAAAGATGAAGGAGCTCCCGCTCGTGTCCCTCTTCTGTTCCTGTTTTTTCTCTGATCCTTCAAAGAAACAGACCTACAAATATGATGGTAAGAACACTGTCTTGACTCCATGACAATTTTTCCTTTGAATGAAAAAAAGAGTAGACATTTTTGTAGGGTTTTATTTTCTGTCTGTGACCCCATTAGGGAACTTTTCACTCACTTCCTGTCCCTGTGACAACCTGTGACACAAAGACAAGAAATGAAGAGTGATGTTGCCACCAGGGCAGGAATTTGTAGACAGTAATAGTAACCTGACAGAAATGTAAACCCTTCCACAATTTATGAAAATTCAACATCTTGTTTCAGTCTGTGTCCCTTACAAGTGAGAGTTCCCATTCCTTCATGGAGACATAAAAAATATATGTTTTAGCTGGTAATTGTACACTATATGGGCACCTGACCATCCAATCTAAACACGTATATACTTGTTGGATATCCCATTCAAAAACCATGGGCATTAATTTGAAGTTGGTCCCCCACAGCTGTCATTCTTCTTTGAAGGCTTTCCACAAGATTTTGGAGGGTGTTTGTGGGAATGTGTACCTATTCATTAAAAAAAACCCAAAACATTTGTGAGGTCAAGTACTGATGTTAGATAAGTTCTGGCTTACAATTGGTGTTCCAACTCATTAAAAAGGTCTTCAGTAGGGTTGAGATCAAGTACCGATGTTGGATGAGAAAACTTGTTTCTCAAATGGTGTTCCAATTTATTCCACAGATGTTCAGTACGGTTGTGTTAAAGTACTAATGTTGGACAAGAAGAACTGGCTCACAACTTGTGTTTCAATTCATCCCAAAAGTGTTCAGCAGGGTGAGGTCTGGTACAGATGTTGGATGAGAAGACCAGGTTTACAATTGGTGCTCTAATCCATTACATAGGTCTTCAGTAGTGTTGAGGTAAAGTACAGATGTTGGATGAGAAGACCAGTCTTACAATTGGTGTTCCAATCCATTACACAGGTCTTCAGTAGTGTTGAGGTAAATTACAGATGTTGGATGAGAAGACCAGGCTTACAATTGGTGCTCTAATCCATTACATAGGTCTTCAGTAGTGTGGAGGTAAATTACAGATGTTGGATGAGAAGACCAGGCTTACAATTGGTGCTCAAATCCATTACACAGGTCTTTAGTAGTGTTGAGGTAAATTACAGATGTTGGATGAGAAGACCAGGCTTACAATTGGTGTTCCAATCCATTACACAGGTCTTCAGTAGTGTTGAGGTAAATTACAGATGTTGATTGAGAAGATCAGGCTTACAATTGGTGTTCCAATCCATTACACAGGTCTTCAGTAGTGTTGAGGTAAATTACAGATGTTGGATGAGAAGACCAGGCTTACAATTGCTGTTCCAATCCATTTCACAGGTCTTCAGTAGTGTTGAGGCAAATTACAGATGTTTGATGAGAAGATCAGGCTTACAATTGGTGTTCTAATCCATTACACAGGTCTTCAGTAGTGTTGTGGTAAATTACAGATGTTGGATGAGAAGACCAGGCTTACAATTGGTGTTCTAATCCATTACACAGGTCTTCAGTAGTGTTGTGGTAAATTACAGATGTTGGATGAGAAGACCAGGCTTACAATTGGTGTTCCAATCCATTACACAGGTCTTCAGTAGTGTTGAGGTAAATTACAGATGTTGGATGAGAAGACCAGGCTTACAATTGGTGTTTCAATCCATTACACAGGTCTTCAGTAATGTTGAGGTAATGTCAGGGCTCCGGGTATGACCAGAGGTGTGTGGACTGACACAGGGAAATGCAGGCTCAAGTATGGTGTAACAATATAATTTATTAAGGGTTATACACAAATATAACGCACAATATAACAAAACCAAACCTCCAACTGATAACGGAATGTACACAGATAAGAGCAGTCAGTGCTGGTGAGGTGGAGTGGTCAGGGGCCGGGTCAGGAATCACCGGGCAGACAAGACACAAAGGAGTAGGCAGAGCGTAGTCAGACGGCCCGGGTCAGGAACAATCAGGCAGACAAGGTACCAAAGGAGCAGGCTGGAGAGTGGTCAGGAATAGCCGAGGTCAGGACAGGCGGAGTTCATTCAGGGTCAGGATCAAGCAGAATCAGGAATCAGGCAGGAAGCAGACAGGATGCAGGTACAGGGGCTCATGGGCTCAGGATGCTAGGTACAGTGGCCACAAGGGAAAACATACACCAAGGCACTGACTGCAGGTCTGGCCATTCCTTAAATACACCTCCTGCAGTCAGCCTCAGGTGATGGCTGACTGCAGGAGTGAGCTTCTGTTTGCTGAGAGCACCCGCTGGCCAGCCCTGGTACTGCAGCCCACAAGGCAGGTGAGTCCCATTGGCAAGTCCATTCCTGACAGGTAAATTACAGATGTTGGATGAGAAGTCCAGGCTTACAATTGGTGTTGCAACTCATTAAAAAGGTCTTCTCTACGGTTGAGGTCAAGTACCGATGTTGGATGAGAAGACCTGTCTCCAATGTTGTTCCAATTCATCTCAAACGTATTTAGTAGGGTTTGAAGTCAGGGTTCTGTGTGGGGTGCTCGAGTTCCACCACACTAAACTGGTCAAACCATGAAGCTGGCTTTGTGCACAGGGGCACAGTCATGCAAGAACAAAAGAGGGTCTTCACCAACTGTTACCACAAGGTAGGAAGATCACACTTGTCTATAATGTCTTTGTATGCTGTAGTATTAACAGTACCCTTTACTGGAAACTCCTGAACTTAGTTGTTTGGAGAGGGGTCTACATGCTTTGCCAAATAGGTAGGTGTGATGGTCAGGTGTCAACAAACTTTTAGCCATATAGGGTATGCCAACATTCAAAAAGGTATCCTAAACTGTGTTATTCTTGTAAAAGAATTACCCATTGTAAAAATGATTATGTTTTTGAGAATGTGTGACTGCCTATCACAAATACACCATTCAAAACTATCCTGTTGATTCATACAATTTAAGTTTTTTATTCTCCATCCACAGCAGATACAGTGGACCTCACGTGGTGTGTCATCTCAGACATGGAAGTCATAGAATTAAACAAACGAACTTCAGGCCAAGCTTTTGAGGTCATCCTAAAGCCTCCTTGCTTTGATTGTGTCCCAGAGTTAAATGCCTCACTCCCCCAACGCCGGGACCCATCACTGGAAGAGATCCAGAAAAGACTTGAAGCTGCTGAAGAAAGACGCAAGGTAAGTGAGAATGGGTTCACAAATATATTTATGTTGGTCAAAAATGTAAAACGGGTTCAACAGGTTTTTTTTTCAAATTGTATCTATTAGGTTAGGCTCCCAAAAGTAAACATGACCCATGGATATTTGGGGTCCAAGGACAGAAAGGTTGCGTTTCTAGAGGTCTTTATTCAGTTTTCATAGACCCTGTTCATTTGGTGGCACTTTACAGCCTTTAATATCAGTCCCTGCCCCAGAAGAGCTTACAGTATTGTTTCCCTATTGCAGTTATGATAGACAATAGACTATCCCTAGTGCCAACTATTGAATAAAGGTGCAGTTTGGGTGTTGGTTGATTGCCTACTGCCAGACTATGGTAAGGAACAAGGGCAACCTGATAAACCAACAAAAACATGGTTTGGGTTAGGGTTAGGAACCCAGAATCCTAGCACTTCAAATCAGCAGTCCAAACGACTGCAAAATGCTGAATTTTTTACCAGCATGGGGCGTCATTTAGCTATCCTGCCATTATGTTTCATGTAATTCTCCAACAACATGACATGCAACTAGACCATAGGTCCACCCATAACTGACTGGCTACTAAAAACATTATGACATTTTGATTTCCCTATCCTTCAGGAAAGATAAACATCTTTAAATAAGGCCAGAAGACTGACTTTCATGATCACACTTGATCGTTCAACATGGCCAACCCACTATCCTTATCACCTCAGCTAAGAAGCTCTCACAAGCTCTTCCTGGCATGTACAACCTTCTCCATGCTTAACAGTCCATAAGCCAGTTACAAAAGGCCCATTTGTTTGGGTCCTGACTGAGAAGATTCACTTTATTTCTATTCGTCCAATTGACCAGAGTCATCGGAGTCAAAAAAGAAAATCTAAAAATTTGAGTTGTCACTAGAACCAGAACCTGTTCTGGTGACCACTGTCTAAGCAAAGATGTGCAGTACTTTAGAGCAGGGGTCTCCAAACTTTCTAAACAAAGGGCCGGTGTAACATCCTTCAGACTTTGGCCCAGTAGGAGCAGAAAATGTCCTGGCCTCTGTAGCAATGCCACATCATTGGTGTCAACGAGAGGAATAGTGCCCTTGCATTGGTGTACGTGAGAGGAATAGTGCCCCATCATTGTGTCAACGAGAGGAATAGTACCCCATCATTGGTGTCCATGAGAGGAATAATGCTCCATCATTGGTATCAGTGAGAGGAATAGTGCCCCATCATTGTTTACGTGAGAGGAATAGTGCCCCATCATTGGTATCAGTGAGAGGAATAGTGCCCCATCATTGGTATCAGTGAGAGGAATAGTGCCCCATCATTGGTATCTGTGGGAGGAATAGTGCCCCATCATTGGTATCAGTGGGAGGAATAGTGCCCCATCATTGGTGTCAGTGGGAGGAATTGTGCCCCATCATTGGTATCAGTGGGAGGAATAGTGCCCCATCATTGGTGTTTACGTGAGAGGAATAGTGCCCCATCATTGGTATCAGTGGGAGGAATAGTGCCCCATCATTGGTATCAGTGAGAGGAATAGTGCCCCATCATTGGTATCTGTGGAGGAATAGTGCCCCATCATTGGTATCAGTGGGAGGAATAGTGCCCATCATTGGTGTCAGTGGGAGGAATAGTGCCCCATCATTGGTATCAGTGGGAGGAATAGTGCTCCATCATTGGTGTCAGTGGAGGAATAGTGCCCCATCATTGGTATCAGTGGGAGGAATAGTGCCCCATCATTGGTATCAGTGAGAGGTGTGCCCCATCATTGGTATCTGTGGGAGGAATAGTGCCCCATCATTGGTATCAGTGGGAGGAATAGTGCTCCATCATTGGTGTCAGTGGGAGGAATTGTGCCCCATCATTGGTGTACGTGAGAGGAATAGTGCCCCATCATTGGTATCAGTGAGAGGAATAGTGCCCCATCATTGGTGTCAGTGAGAGGAATAGTGCCCCATCATTGGTATCTGTGGGAGGAATAGTGCCCCATCATTGGTATCAGTGGGAGGAATAGTGCTCCATCATTGGTGTCAGTGGGAGGAATTGTGCCCCATCATTGGTTGTACAGTGGGAGGAATAGTGCCCCATCATTGGTGTCCATGTGAGAGGAATAGTGCCCCATCATTGTATCAGTGTACATTGGTGAGAGGAATAGTGCCCCATCATTGGTGTACGTGAGATGAATAGTGCCCATCATTGGTGTACGTGAGAGGAATAGTGCCCCATCATTGGTGTACGTGAGAGGAATAGTGCCCCATCATTGGTGCATGTGAGATGTAGTGCCCTTGCATTGGTGTACGTTAGAGGAATAGTGCCCCATCATTGGTGTATGTGAGATGAATAGTGCCCCTTGCATTGTGTACGTGAGAGGATTAGTGCCCCTGCATTGGTGTACGTGAGATGAATAATGCCCTTGCATTGGTGTACATGAGAGGCACTAGGTGCACCCCTGCATTGGTGTACATGAGAGGAATAGCACCCCTGCATTGGTGTACATGAGAGGAATAGCGCCCCTGCATTGGTGTACATGAGAGGAATAGCGCCCCTGCATTGGTGTACGTGCGAGGAATAGCAACCTATCATTGGTGTTGATGGGAGGAATAGTGCCCCATCATTGCTATCAGTGGGAGGAATAGTGCCCATCATTGGTATCAGTGGGAGGAATAGTGTCCCATCATTGGTATCAGTGGGAGGAATAGTGCCCATCATTGGTATCAGTGGGAGGAATAGTGCCCCATCATTGGTATCAGTGGGAGGAATAGTGCCCCATCATTGGTATCAGTGGGAGGAATAGTGCCCCATCATTGGTATCAGTGGGAGGAATAGTGCCCCATCATTGGTATCAGTGGGAGGAATAGTGCCCCATCATTGGTATCAGTGGGAGGAATAGTGTGGTATCATTTGAAGGATTAGTGTCCCATCATTGGTGTCAGTGGCAGGAATTATGCCGCATTGTTAATGTCAGAGGGAGGAATAATGCAGAGGGTAGATTCCAAGGTTTACCCCCTTTACTTTTCTCATAGACACCAAGAAAGAATTACTGCTTAGACTCATTCCAAGAAAGAATACTGCTTAGACCTTGAACTAGGAGGCAAGCAAATGTTTGTCATGAAAGGGCAAATTTAAAAAAGTATCATGGGCTGTACTCATGAGTGTTGTTGCAAAAGTGCACTAATACAGCTACAACCAGGGGTGTATTTACCACAAGGCAAACAAGGCATTTGCCTAGGGTGGCATTTTTCGGGGGGGGGGCAGTACTGCCCCTTGGAAGAAGGCATGGAAGAAGGGAAACACGAGGCATGGGGACCTGGTGGGTTCCATAAGATGCTTTGGGTTTCATGTCGGTGTATGTACAGCCCGACTTGCGTTCCTGCGGATGTCCGGAGCTGTGAAGGTGAGTGTCTTTCTCTCTCTCACCATAGGGGATGGTGGCTGGTATATGGGGGGCAGTGGTAGTGGAAGGCTCAGGTGGAGGGCAGGGCTGTTCTTGGTCAATGTTAGGCTCTTCCTGATGGGGGGGGGCACCAATTTTTTTGTTGCCTAGGGCAGCACAAAACCTAAATACACCACTGGCTACAACCACTGCAAGTGTTATAGATACTAATCCCATTTGATTTTTCTTTAGTGTCAAGAAGCCGAGCTCCTCAAACACCTGGCAGAGAAAAGGGAACACGAGCGTGAAGTCATTCAGAAAGCCATTGAGGAGAACAACAATTTCAGCAAAATGGCCAAAGAGAAGCTGATACAGAAAATGGAAGTCAACAAGGAGAACAGGGAGGCCCATCTAGCCGCTATGCTCGAGCGTCTGCAGGAGAAGGTTAGTTAAAGGTTAGTTAAAGTGGTGTCTCGCGTTCTAAACTTTTTATTTAAAATTTCATTTCTTCATGCTCACCTCTGAGAACATAAAAGTGATGCTGTCGTTGCCAAAAAAAAAAAAATCTTCGTAGCAGGTCCCTGCAAAAGAAGAGGTATTATACTGTACTTACCTACAGGGATGAACTCAGGTGTTTTCAGATTCTAGTCCTAACCCACCTAAGCAAGCCCACCAGAAAGCTGTGACCTATACTAGGCCAATGATCAGTGGCCAAGTCATCCCTACATCAAGACTTATACACTCTGCAGAAGATTGGCCTAGTACAGGTGGCATCTTTTGGTCGGCTGGCTGGAAGGTCCGAACATGGCTGAGCTCATCACTACTTCTCTTACTTGTGCTTCAACTTCTGTCAGACTCTTCATAATTCAACATTTCTTAGAGTGTCCCCTTCCCTGTGTCACGATTCCATCAGTTGAGTCTTAGGTCACACTTGTGTCCTGGAGGAGGATGTCCAGAGGATGAAACCACAGCATGATGAAGGGGACACGGTCATCCAATGGTTCACACTCAACATTTCTCATTCAACATTTCTTGGAGTGTCCCCTTCCCTGTGTCACGATTCCATCAGTTGAGTCTTAGGTCACACTTGTGTCCTGGAGGAGGATGTCCAGAGGATGAAACCACAGCATGATGAAGGGACACGGTCATCCAATGGTTCACACTCAACATTTCTCATTCAACATTTCTTGGAGTGTCCCCTTCCCTGTGTCACGATTCCATCAGTTGAATCTTAGGTCACACTTGTGTCCTGGAGGAGGATGTCCAGAGGATGAAACCACAGCGTGATGAAGGGAACACGGTCATCCAATGGTTCACACTCAACATTTCTCATTCAACATTTCTTGGAGTGTCCCCTTCCCTATGTCACGATTCCATCAGTTGAGTCTTAGGTCACACTTGTGTCCTGGAGGAGGATGTCCAGAGGATGAAACCACAGCGTGATGAAGGGAACACGGTCATCCAATGGTTCTTGCAGTGTCGAATGCTGAAGGGTCTGATGGAGACTGCAGCAATAAATTGGACCAACCATCAAGATTATTTTGGCAATTACATTGTTGTTTTGAAATATTTATAGTGTCATCCTTTTCTGGTCTGCAATGGAGCTATGCTTTCCAGTTAAGGCAACCAAATTCTTGGCAATACTACGGTGTCACCAAGAATCTCATCTATGATCTTATGTGTTGTTTCTATATTGCCACAAGTGGCATTGCCAGACTGGCTTCAATGACCTCCTCTAGTCAACCAGCAATGCGCAGTGCTGAGGTTGATCTGGGATGTTTCAAGACCGCAGTAGTAAGATTAGGAAACCACGGAAGCAAACAAAAGTTGCAAGCTCAACCAAGGCTAGGTGGCCAACTGGAGCTATGCTTTCCAGTTAAGGCAACCAAATTCTTGGCAATACTACGGTGTCACCAAGAATCTCATCTATGATCTTATGTGTTGTTTCTATATTGCCACAAGTGGCATTGCCAGACTGGCTTCAATGACCTCCTCTAGTCAACCAGCAATGCGCAGTGCTGAGGTTGATCTGGGATGTTTCAAGACCGCAGTAGTAAGATTAGGAAACCACGGAAGCAAACAAAAGTTGCAAGCTCAGCCAAGGCTAGGTGGGGCTCTCCTGTAGGAGAATCCCATGGGAGGGGGAGAACTTGACCATAAGACCATGTGCTGTCCCCCTCAAGACTTTCAGAGCAAGTCCAAGAGCCTACACCTTACTAATGGTGTTGGAGCAAGAACCTGTACAGAGATATGGCTGAAGGAGGTTACAGGAATTTGGCAGCACTAAGATTCAGCTTTTTATGCTCTTGGTTACGATACCCAGGACCATTTGGAAACTCGGGGACTGCCCGAGGGCCCGGGGTCAGTAGGGGGCCCCATGTGATGCCCCTGGTACCTTTTTCATAGGTTTTTTGAGTTTGGGCAAGGACACAGGGGCCCCATGATCCCCTATTGCCTGGGGGCCCCATGAGTTGTCAGTCCGCCCCTGCCCAGGACATTAATAAATGTCATCCAAATGGAGGTTACATGCACTTTAAGCAGGGTAATCACATTCCCTAATGTACAGGTTGCCACTAGAGGGAGCAGTTACAATACTGACTATAAAATATAATAATTAAAATATGAAATGTGAAGCATGTAAAAGGTATAGAAGAATCAAGAACATATTATAGTCATGCAAAATGTGATACTCCCATCCCCCTCTAATCATCAGCGACTTGTCTCCTCTACAGGATAAGCATGCAGAAGAAGTTAGGAAAAACAAAGAGATGAAGGAAGAAGCTTCCAGGTAGAAGGTGGTGGCGTTATACAATTTGGACTGAGGACTCCACGGGGTGCCTGAACTGCCCAGCACAATATTAAGCAACCGAGACTCTTTTATTGCTTTTTTTTTTCTTTTCCTTTCTTTGTTTGTGAATGTTAAAGAGATGACCGGCAAAAAAAAAAAAAAAATGTCGCCTTTTTTTCGGAGAAGCTTAGGGATGGGAATTTGGGAGGATGTAACGGGAGGGGTCGACCATCTCATCCGCAAAGACCTAAAGAATCGTACCCTAGGAACCCAGGCTCTGATGTCCTGCCACCTTGTCACTACGCATACCATACTAAAAAGAAAATTAAAATTAAATAAGCCAGCTTGCCGCGATGGGAGCCGCGAATGGCGGTTTCCTGCTGCCGCAGAGCACATGAGTTAACCGTTCTCTATACCTGCTCTTGGAAAGGCTGTTTAATGGCACTGATTTTATATGTCTACCATTGTACTGTCAATACATATTGAATTTCCCGTTTACCTATCTGCCTCTGCGTCTCATTATTTACTTGCCTGTTCATTTTATATAAAGCTCAAAGGAGCATTTTGTTTAAATCAATTAAAGCTGAATTGTAATCTGTTGATATTTTGCCTTCCCTGGTTTCTCTCACCACATCCCCCCAATCAAAGTGCTAATTCCATTTTTAGTTTTTCATTACATACATTACATACGGTTTTCATTACATACATTATTTTAGAAGCCACGATGTCATCACTGGGTCCCTGTGATTCTCCATGCAGTGCAGGCAGATTGTGGCTGGTGGGAGGGGCTGGCAGGGTGTTGTACATGCCTTCCTGAAAACATCACAGCCCTCAGCCTGGATGCAAGTATCAAAGTGCCTTGATGGGTGGGTGTTAGTCTAGAGGAGTGGGGCGTTCCATTTGTACAAAATTTGTACAACCGCCACATGTGCTACTGAGCCTCCACGATTGAAAAGACTGAAATTCATTGAATGAAAGGGACAAGACAGGGACTTTACAATAATATGTTACGTGTGGCACAACCAGGGGCGGACTGACTATTCGGGCACTGCCCGAGGGCCCGGGGTCATTAGGGGGCCCCATGAGATGCCCCTGGTACCTTTCATTGGCTTTTTCATAGGATTGTTTGGGTGTGGGCAAGGACACAGGGGCCCCATGTTCCCCTATTGCCCAGAGGCCCCATGAGTTGTCAGTCCGCCCCTGGGCACAACTGATGTTAACATACACAAAATCACCCTACTTTGTGCTTTTTATACAAGATGTGGTATTTTAAAAAAATATATATATTTTTGTTAATTGTATATAATTCTTTGAATTAATTCTATTATATAATAATAATACAATTTTTTTACACTTTTAAAATGTTTTAATTTGAATTATCTATTATATAATAATAAGAAGAAGAAGATTTTTTTAAGCTTTTCACAATTTTTAATTTTAATCTGATATATAATAATGATTTTTTAAGCTTTTAAAAAAAAATTATTTTAATGTTAACAATTACGTAATAAAATTTTTTGACACTTTTAAAATGTTTTAATTTTAATAATCTATGATATCATTTTATATATTAATTTATTTTTAAATTATTATTTATTAAGCTTTTTTTAAAAATGTTAATTTTAATTCTAATAATCTATTATATATTAATAATATAATTTTTTTTTACCCTTTTACATTTTTTTTATTTTAATTCTAATCATTTAACTTTTAATTAATTTTGTAACTTTTTTTAAACTTTATTGCTATCACAAGGGGGCTAACAAGTCCCCTGTATGGTAACATTGGCAGGTGACAAGTCCTCTTTATGAAGACATTGGAGTCTGTTAGACCCCCCCCCCCCCCAATGTCTCCCCTGTCTTCTAATGCAGCTATTCAAGCACAGATTATACTTGAATAGCTGCATCCTCGGCTACACAAGCCAAGGAATTACAGCTGTAACCCCAGAAGTGATGTACTACACATCACTTCCAGGAGGTATCAGGGAACTGAAGTTCTCAGTGTTCCTTCTGCTATCGTTGTATGAGCAGGTTCTGGTGATCCCGGGGGAATGGAAAAGCCAGGGAACCACCAAAGGCAGGGGGGAGGTGCATTTTCTACTGTGCCTTTTATAAATGTACCTTAGTAGACAAATGATTAAAGAAGAATATCACCCGAATCAGAAAGTAGGATGTCTTTATAAATGAAGGATGTGCTAAAATGACTAACTACATCTATTGATCATGTTCCACCTCCTTGCAACCCAAGGTGAGTCAACATACAGCTCAGACCTGAAACCCTCCCTAAAAAGTTGCGTCTTTTCCCACCCGCTTTGAGAACTGACTGTTCCATTCCCGGTTCAGACTAGACATGGGCACGCCGATAAATTATCGTTTCATTTCGGATGCATTCGTTCTTTGAAGAATTTCATTTCATCATATTCATTATGTTGAACCGATTTGTTTTCATAATTCATTTAGTATCTTCGGCATTCATTTCATCTATTCTTTGGTCTGGGTGGATTAAAAAAATTAGCAGTTGTTCGAGAAGATTGCTATATATGCGATATACAGTATTATCAAACTGGACAGATTTGAATCGGATGGATTCAATATTTTCAGACGCTAATCCAACTATTCATTTTGAATGGCTCAATTGCACCGCATTGCACCAAAGAAGTGCAGGCACGCTTTTTGGAGCTGCGCCACATCACATGGTTGTTTTGTACCATGTACCAGAAAAACTGCAATGCGTTTGGGGTTTCATTAACTTTATATTGACACCTACAGATGATCACAAACACAGTGTGTAACGGAACTGACCCAGACTGCACTTGGGTACTTCCCTTAGGATACCTTCCTCGTCCGAACACCGACCACAGACACCGCAGCAGACCATACAAGACTAGACGACACCAATCTTGAAGTAAACCAGGAGGTAGACTAGTTTATTTTAACACAGATACAAGATATATACACTCAGGGGACAACCCCCCTCCCTGCATAATGACACGGGGTGGGGCAATCTACCTTTAGTAACAAGAGACACACCATCAGACAGTCCCATCAGGAGGGAGGGCTGCTGGAGACAACCCCCACCAAGCCAATACACATAAACACATACATCCCATAATAGTTTGCTCCCAAGCAAGACACACAATAGAACAATGGGATGCAACCACATGGCATTAAACAATCAACAACCCCCCACCCCAATATTTGGACAGATCACCCTGTACCCCAAACAGGCACAGGATGACTTACACATAATAGGGATATGGGGAGCTGAGACAGGGGTCTCCCCACCTCTCCAAAGTGAGCTGGGTTCCATGGGACCCCCACCCAAAGTGACTCCCGTTACACAGTGCAATTGCAATGCAGCGTGGGAACAGCACAGGGATCACAGTGTTTCCTCTCGTTGCATATGTGTGAACCAGGGCTTAGACAAGCAGTGACCAAGGAGGTTCAAACTTTGGGTATTACTAAAGGCACTGAGAGGAAAGTTTTTGTTACAGAAAATACATACCTTTCTGACTTTTGAAATTCAATATTTTCCATCAAAATGCCTTGATTGGTGGGTATCAGTTGGGTTGAGTGGGTGTAATACAACTGCGAAATGTTTCACTTCCATGGAATGGAAAGACCCCTTTTAGTTCGGCTTTTCTATGATCCTTCCATCAAGCACAATTCAAACCAGCAGCTCAGATGACCATTCAGGTGAAAACAAACTTCTGCTACATTGTTACAGACACTATTTTGCCAAAAGTATTGGGCTGCCTGTCTTTACACATTCATGAACTTTATTGGCATCCCAGTCTTAGTCCGTAGGGTTCAATATTGAGTTGGTCCACCTTTGCAGCTATAACAGGTTCAACTCTTCTGGGAAGGCCATCCACAAGGTTTAGGAGGGTGTCTATGGGAAGGTTGGACCATTCTTCCAGAAGCACATTTGTGAGGTCAGGCACTGATGTCAGTGGAGGAGGCCTGGCTCGCAGTCTCTGCTCTTAATTCATTCCAAAGGTGTTCTGTTGGGTTAAGATCGGGATTCTGTGCAGGCCAGTCAAGTTCCTCCACCCCAAACTCGCTCATCCATGTCTTCATGGACCTTCCTTTGTGCACTGGTGCGCAGTCATGTTGGAACAGGAAGGGGCCATCCCCAAACTCTTCCCACAAAGTTGGGAGCATGAAATTGTCCAAAATGTCTTGGTATGCTGATGTCTTAAGAGTTCCCTTCACTGGAACTAAGGGGCCAAGCCCAACCCCTGAAGAACAACTCCACACCTTAATCCCCCCTCCACCAAACTTTACACTTGGCACAATACAGTCAGGCAAGTACCGTTCTCCAGGCAACCACCAAACCCAGACACCTCCATCAGATTGAAGACAGAGGGCAGGCTGATAAAGCCCATGACCTGGACGTGGTGGTAAATTGATGAACTGGATCAGGGGCAGACTGACAACTCATGGGGCCCCCGGGCAATAGGGGATCATGGGGCCCCTGTGTCCTTGCACACATTCAAAGCACACCCAAAAAAGCCTATAAAAGGTACCAGGGGCATTTCATGGGGGGCAATAGGGGATCATGGGGCCCCTGTGTCCTTGCCCACACTCAAAGCACACCCAAAGAAGCCTATAAAAAGGTACCAGGGGCATTTCATGGGGCCCCCTACTGACCCCAGGCCCTCGGGCAGTGCCCGAGTGCTCGAATGGTCAGTCCACCCCTGAACTGGATAATGATAACAAATTTGTCCAGATACAGCCAATGCCCTAAGCATAGAACGCTGTAAGAACACGCAATCATGGAACAGCAGGGTAATGATTGGAAATCTTCAATAGGCTATAAATGGGGTACAACCCTTGTTGTGTGGTGGAGCCAATGACCTTTGGTCTTAGTTGGTAATAAAGATTTGCACAAATGGCGACAGCACCGCATAAGTGTGCCTGTTGGCTCTCACCACTCTGGCGAGCAGATCAAACTCTCCTCAGTAATGTCGAGTCCTCCATTCAGAGGATATGACAGAATAGA